GGAAGCTAAAATATTTTCAGTCCATGTGAAATTTTGCTAAAATTTGTGCTATTATCAATTCAAACTTTCAAAATGCATCACAATCACAAATTCAAGCAGTTTCAAACTGCTTATACGATGACAAATTGAAACATATAATAATGCAAGATAAAATTGCGTATAAGGGTAGGTATTGATGGACCGAAGTTTCAAATATAGGTATAGAATAGAGACACAGCTATTGGATAGTCTAAAGAATATCTTTAGTGGAGTCTTGTTTCATCACCATTCACTAATGGTTTTTTGTGAGAGGATATCCAGCTTTCTAGAAATCACTTCCAGATACCTCAATTTTTGCTCTAATTCTACGAACCTAGGTAGGTATAGTCAACGGAATACCAGAGCAATAGGTATCAGTGGTGTCTTCAATTTAAAGGTCAGTCTTTAAAAATATTTGGGGGCCCTTTCCCTACACTTAATTTAACCTCTTGGATTTTGAATGACGAAGATTCTTTAATAAAGATAGCACCCTCATGTTGATTTTCTGACGTTACCCGACTCTGATCTTTAAAAAAAACTTGATGGTTAGGGCTAGCTGCAGGAATTGCTTGTGAAGGAAGGTTTCAGGAATTGATCAATTTTAGCCAATTTATTTCTTCGCTGTTCAGCGTTTTTTTTTTCTTTTCTTTTGGAAGTTCCTCTGCGATATTTTTGCCCATTCTCAGCTCTCTGATTTCAAAATTTTAAACGACAAGTACCGTTGGCGTCTCTACAGACGCCGCTGGAGATACATTTAAACTCATTTAGTTTGATTAGTGATTTCACTTCTTTGTGAAAAATCTGCCTTTTTTGAATTTTTGAATATCCGTACAGAGGTAAATGCTTAAGTGTTAAAATTACTTAGCAGCATTCATCTCGAAATACAACTTCAGTCAAAGGTTACCGTATCCAGGACCTTCAGATACCTTCTGGACTGCAAAAGGTCCCGCTAATGAACAAAGTATTTCATGTACCTACTTTATGTCTACGGAATGTTATTTTTCACAAATGGGAAATGGGTTGCTTTTAAGTCTATTTGAGCTGGCTACTTTTGAGCATATCAAATTTCATATTAAATTAAGGTCAGATTTAAATTATTAAAATTCAAGAGTTACTTCTTCGCATTGTTAATTTTTGTATATTGTAGATACCTATTGGTCCAGATGTTTCACCTATATCTACCCTCTGCGAACAGGTGTAACATTGAAGGAGTTCGGGAAATTTCAATTTTTTTCAGAATTTTTTTATAAACCAATTACATTTTTTGTAGATTTTTGCCGGGGCCCCTTTTAAGTCGGAGCCCGTCCTCATTGCGTACCTTTGGGACATTGTAGTTACCCCACTGATAGGTGCGGATATTCAAGTACAGAATTGAATTATAAATATGATCAGATCAGCAGCAGGTTCATATTCAAACACCTGCAGAATGTCAGTGACTCAGGAGTTATCAATTACAATATACTATTAGGTACTAAAAATGGTAACTGTAATCTTAGTGTTTCTATTCTTTACACTATGCTGTAATGTATAGACATTTGATCGGTTATATAACACCCATAGACGTATGAGATAAATATTTTATCTGGTAAGCGATGAGCGAAGAGGTATTCATCGACTACAACTACGTGTGCATCTAATAAAAGCTAGTGGTGAATTAAGTAAAGAGCGTTATGAATAACTTATTAGTTTATTCACCTGCTTCGAGTTCCGTATATACTGCTGTAGCAATATTATACACACAGACAGGTTGTGATCGGTTTCCTTAAATAGAAAATTAAATTATTAACTAGGTATTACGGATTCTTTTTATGTTGTAATAAGCGACTTACTTTTAATTTATCTAATAATACGTGAAGTTTTTCCTCGATAGCGGCCATTTCTTATAAGGAACGCGGTCTTTGTGTCATCAACCTATTGATTGTTTTACAAATCTAGGCATATCTTAAACACGCGATCATGCAACATTTCTTTATGACTGAAATGCCACGTTCATAATTTATGATTTGGTAAAAGGTGTTGAATTCTGTCTAATGTCTACTGATGGCTGATGCAAATCGCCTAATTGTACCTACATCGTGCATCAAAGTCGCATCTACTTTGCGGGAACATTTTTGAATTAAATTAACTTAAACTTAATATGAAAGGGGGCAGCACTTCATTGGGATAACAACAAAACAAGGCAACCTTCTTAGTGCATCTACGAAATAGTAGAGGGCGACATTACAGCGTAATTTTTTCCACTTCTGGCAGCTCTTCCGGATACGGGCAATTACGGGATTTAAACGTTCAGACCAAACCGTCTGCCATATTTTTTCAACAAGCAACTTTCGGAACAAGAGTAATGGACAAATGGACTGTTACAATGTGAGTTCGGAGTGAGGTAGGCAACTGAAAAGAAAAACGTCTAAATTCGTCAATAAAATCGATCGAATTTTGACAACATTTATTTTAATTCAAACTATCCCAATGAAAATTTAAATGGAATCACTTTGAAATACCATAAAAGTAAACCATCTGCACACTCTTATACCAAGCAACGACTGCACTTTACTTATGTAAATGGCGATTGAGAAAGCATCGTTTTGTTTACGTTGGTTGATATTTTGTGTTATTTATTAATCCAGGTAGTAATCTTTTGCATTTCTTTATAATGTAGGTATTTGTATTTTCTATGCAGCATTTTATATTTTTTGTGAGTTTCAATTTTTGTTTTGAAGTTGACTTGATTTAACCTCCATGCAGAATCATGTGTTTGATACCGTTAACCTTTTGTGTGAAATCGTTTACCATTTTGGTGTAAATTTTTGCTTAATTTATGTTTATGTTTCAATTAAGTATATGGTCTTGGCTCCAAGTTAAATGTACACATTTTGTTAATTTTTTAAACATGGAAATTATCGAATTGCAGTTTGAAGTTGTTGTTTGTAAACTAACACCTTTCGCCTTGAAAAGACGGTCACGGGGGTGGTAAATAATTGTAACCACATTGATTTACGACACCTACTGCCGGGACTGTTAACGATTTCCAATAACTATTAATCTTTGAATTTCATGTCACATTTTGTTATTATTAACATGTTGCATAAAATATTTGTTATTGAAGCAAGGCGTACTGCATGCTTGTTTTGAGTTCCGTTATCTGAATCATGTTTGTTTATCCATGAAAGGCTTTCCTGGTATCGCTTTGTTGTGTGTGTAATATATTTTACTTGTTCTTGTCTTTTCTTAAGCACAAAATTCTGCATTTTATTCCATTCCCATCCAGATTATGCCTCACATAAAAGAACCGACCTAGTTATATAGGTATTCACAACGTAGGAATTCATTTGAGCCATCCAGTCCGAGCTGACTGCTCTCGAGATTCAAAAGTGCCGCGAAACATCCGTCGTTTCAACTTGAAAGTTAGGTGACTGCTCGTCGTTTGACACCCGCATGAATAAAAAATTTAAACATTGTTTTCCCCAGAGTTTCCAATCCAACTGTAAGTATAGGGTAAGTCAAGATTGAAGTGCCCGCTTTAGGGACCCCTAGCATCATTACAACACACAAAACAATAAGCGGCTACGTTTCAACGTTCACAAAAAAAAAACCGGCCCGTGTGGCGCAGTTCAGTTAAAGGCTGAATTGTGGTGCTAGGGTCCCTGGTTCGAATCCGGGTTCGGGCATGGATATTTGTAAATGTATAATGGGTTGGGTTGGTAGAGCAGCCTTGGTTGAAACCCCGCTCACTCAAAAATAAAGGCAAAATTTTAAAAAAATTGTAAATAATAAATGCCTTCATTTGATATTTAAAGCCATTTCCTTCTTATCGAAATTACTGCGTAGTCCAGTCACTTAAGATCTGTGTTTACGTTGGCGAAAAACACTGCTCATCTAACTTAATTAGCTTAAACAGCGATAACGAATCCCTATCGCACTGACCAGAGATAACATTTTTACGAATGAGTAAACATAATTTTAAAAAAGTACTTTAATTTTCGGGGGGTAGTATTGGTGCTAGAGCGCACTGAAAGATGTCAATTTTTGTACTTTTAAGAAAAGGTAAACATTCGAATAAAAGCAAATCAGTTGACTTGTTTGATCTGACAGTGGTTTGACATATATTAATATAATATATATCTTTAGATAGATGTGGGATTTCCAGTCTGGTAAAAACGGTAATGTACTATTTACCAGACTCAATCAGTCTGGTAAGGAGGCGCGAGTACTAGACAGTCTGAAATAAAATTAATTACTAATGCACACAGAGACATTTTTATAACATTTCTATCTCCTATGTTAAGACTCAATACTAAACACTTTTTCAATTGGCTTATAGCGTTGAGTGAAAAATTATTCACTGCTTATAGGTATAACAAACACTAAACCTTCTAGAAAAATCTTGATCATATTTCACAGAAAGAATGAATCACATCAGCTTTTATTCCTTATCGCCAGTGACACAATAGTATATTGAAAGACAAGTGTTACAATGCGACCTATTGTAATACGACTATCTTGTGGCACGAGTGGCGACGCGAAGCGTAGCCACGAGTGCCCGCAAGATAGGAGTATTACAATAAAGCATTGTAACACGCGTTTTTCATACTATTTTTTCTATTTCGGTGCTTTAATTTAATTAAAAAAATCATTATCAGAAACTATAGGGAACATTAGAACTAACATGTTTTATGTTGGGAACACTTTTTATGCCGTTAAGTTTTAGGTTGGCAGCGTAGTAAGACTGACATTTTGAAGTTCAAACATGGAAGTACCCAACGAAGTACCTACTTGTACTAACTAGTAACTGCCGACTTAAGAAATGAGTTACCAAAAAAAACGACTATAATCACTATCTTTGTACAACTGTTTTCGGCCGAAAACAGTTGTATAAAATCATCATTGTAACACCGAAATAGAAAAAAAGCTGTATTGCGCAAAATTAACGATTTTCATAATTCCAGCCGTGTATTTCGTTCCCTGTCTGGCCAACCAGACTACCCGCCACTGGACTGTAATGCCACTACTGAACCGACAGCCTTGTTCTAGGTTAGGTTATGTTGTGATTATTAAATTATCAAGAATAATAATCATAGTAAAATAATATTTAAAACATGAGTGGAACTGAAAATGAGCCCGAATCGGATTTTAATGAATCCACTAATTCCACACTTCACAATGTATCTCAGGCATTAGACAGCGACTTTGATTCCTTAAAGAAGACCGACAAACAGAAAAGTGAGCAATTCATTGCAGGCGCTTATAGCTATAGATTTCATTTTTTAGTTGACATATTACTTAAACCTACGGGAAATGCTCCTATTATGAAACGTAGAAAATGGGCAGTTGACGCGGAGAAACCATTGGGTTGGATAGTCGAGTTTGTGAAAAAGTATTTGAAATTAGAAGCGCACGAACGAGTGGTCTGATTTACAACTTATCCTTGTCTGTCGTTTTAAATGCCAATGTTTTAGTTTCTCTACGTGAATCAAACGTTCGCCCCCTCTCCCGATCAAATTGTAAAGAACTTGTACGATTGCTACAATACGGACGGGAAGTTAATTCTCCATTATTGTAAGACACAGGCGTGGGGTTAATTTATGTGGGAAATTAGTATGATTTACGCTTCTATGTGATATTTATTTGTATATTGTACCTATTTGACTTTTAGCAATCTTGATTTTTGTATGACATGAAAATTATCTTGAGAATATATTTATGGAGACATTTTTGCAGATTTTTATCATAACTGCATCCGAACCAGGAGCGAACCAACAAAGGGGTTGTGTTGTGGTAGGTTTAAACCAATCCAAACTAATGTACAGTTCATAAATTTTAACTCTAAACATACAAATTTCTCATATCACCCGCTCCCTTGGTCAGTGCTAAAGTTATAATCTGTGTCCACTTCTCTCCTTAACTGGTGTCTAATTACTCCTTGGCTTTGTAGTCTTAACCTTACCTTACCTCCCGACCTCTGACATAAGATAAAAAAACTCTTTCTTTGATAATATTTACCCAGTCACATCATTCTCCTCCTCCTATGTGTATGTGTGGGTATCATTTTTGTGTAGATGGTCTTTTAAGTGGGCGGGGTTTCATGCAAAGTATCCAGTCTTCCACTTGTTTGAGCTGACCCATGTTGAAAGTCAACCCAATTTTCCAGAAGCAGTACTTTCCGAGCGAAGACACATATTTGAAAAAATCCTACTACCTTCGAAACTTTATTGTACATACACTTAAGTGTCCTGGGTACAGCAATATATACACTGGTAATAAGATAGTATCACATGATATGTCACTCTTAACTTATAAACTAAAATATTACATTTCTAACTACCCTAAAAAAACGATAACAAAATAAATAATATAGTTGTATGCCTTACTGAATTTAGATACAGCATACACCACAATGCCTCGACTTTTGCTACACAATCGTAAGCATATTCTACTTATTGAGCAATGCTACTACTGTCAATACACAGCTTACATTTGTTTCCCCACTAAAGTCGGATAGTGCAACAGACAATGCAATTACAAAATGTTACATACAGTATAAGTTCTGATGTACAAAAGGAATTTCAACATGTAAAGTAATGAATCAATAAAGCTTCCCTCTGGAAGTGAATTTAATCATAATCTTACTAATAGTCAGAAAGGAATTATAAATATGGGGTAATACTCTTTGAAAAGGGGATGTGTGTACAGAATTTGTATCCTTAGAGCAAGATTGACGACATACTTAATCAGAAGTTATACTAAAAAAAAAGTAGATCTCCATTTTGATACTGAAGTTTATCTCTGAATAATTATGAATTAACAATGCCCATCCACAATCACAAATTTCAATAAACATCAATGAAACTGGTATAAGACCACACTAATCAATGATGTAATAGAATATACAAACTATATGTATAGGGATCTATATTAACAAATTGCAAACATAGACAAAAGTGAAATTACGTAAAAACTACGATCAATAAATTGAGAGTTGAACTGAAATGTATCACAGGAATAAATACAAGTAGGGGATATTTATGAGTCATTCCTTTACAGCTCATTGTATAGTAATGGAAATTGAAGTTGGAATGTTACACACACTCTGACCAACTTAAAAGTATCATGAAATATGGAGTAACATAACCTCACATTTCGCCGAAATGATGTGAACTTTGTATTAAAATTTATGACTTCTCCCGCAATTTTTTTTTGTTAAAAACGCTTAATGCCCTCTAGCCATTTTTATCAATTTCATAATTGTACCCGGGGCGCTTGATAACGCCACGTAACCTTTAGATTCTCTAGCTGAATTCTCTGAAACACAATTCATTCATAAACTTGAAATACGCTATTTGAAATTGATGTCTTTTATTATGTATTTTGGAAAACCACTTCTGAATTTCACATTGTAAATATTAGGTAATAACGTATAGGTATAGGTATTCTTAAAAGTAAAATTTGATATAGGTAGTCCCCATAATCACCTCCTGTTGATGTAATGATATATGGAAATATTAATAAAAAGAAGAAAATTTCTCTAAAAATTAAAGTTATTATTTGTTTCTAATTCAAACAACAGATAGGTATTATACTTTATTTCAATAATACTTTCTCCTCAATCTCATAATATAAAAAATGTTTTTACTACTAATTAAATCAATCTGAGAACAAAGGATTTTCAGTTCTAGCAAAGATTTGTCAACTTCAATTATACTAGAAACTTTTGGGTTTTTAGCGGTCACAAAATTTGCTACTGAAGTGTCAAATTCATCCCAAATCTTAGAAGTTGACGGTTTAGGCTTCCCAGCGTCCTCTAGCTCTACGTCTGATGCTTGGACTTCTTCGGTTTGTGATAGCTGGGAATATATATTGAAAATGTTGGTGAAGGCGAATATTCTGCAATGAAGGCGTGCCAACAAACATTTAATTTGAAGGGGCCTAATGAGAATGGCTATCCTTTTAAGGCGACTATCTTTATTAAAATGCACTATAAACACGATGTGGCCGCTTTGCCATTTAAAAAATTTAGTTTTGAATTTGTATTTTGTTAAACACATACCGCTTTATAGTGAACTTGAACTAAACTAAGTCTGGCGATAACAAGACGCGTATTAGCGAAAGCGAGTGCGGTTGCCGCGATCTCTTCGTACCTAAAAGTTGCGTTCATACCATTTGAGCTAATTTAAAAAACCGAAATGCAAGTTTTGTATTGGCTGCTAGGGTCCCCCAGTCGAGGTCATTTGCGTTCAGGATTATTGGCTCCCCAAATTATTTTAGAGCACAAATGTATTAAGGTTTTTTGTAGAAACACATTTTTTACGCCAATCAACCGCATTGCTTTTCAATTTTTTGCATAATAAAGACGGAAAATTGGAAAAATAAAACCCGCACCTTTGCAATAATCTGTGATGCCATGGAACTTTATAATACAAAAACTACGCCAATATCCGTCATGCCATGGAACGTCAGCTATAAAACAAATCAAATTCTATCAAAAAGTATTATATTTAGAACAGCGAATTCAACATAAAGAAATACCAAATTACTAAAAACGGTTTCCTATTATAACAATTTACAATAAATGTTCGAATAAGTCACCATTCACTGCAAGACAGTAACCAAGTCGATGATAAAATCCATTTCGAACTGCTGCTAATTGATATCTTTTTGTTTTAGAAAATTCCATGGCATCACAGATGATTGAAAAAGATGCGGGTTTTATTTTTTCAATTTTCCATCCTTATTATACAAAAAATTGAAAAGTAATGCGGTTGATTGACGTAAAAAATTTTTTTCTACAAAAGACCTTAATACATTTTTGCTCTAAAATAATTTGGGGAGCCAATATCGCATGTTATGAATTCTACATTGAAATCCCTATGATGCGTTACGCAAGTCACCACCCTGTATATGCAAAGGAACATTTTCAAGACGAAGATCCGCTTTTCCAATAACAAACTGACATTCAACTCATTGTGGTTCGGATCGCTAACAATAATGGCTAGTTAAAAGCAAGTTTCTCAAACTTGGATAACGTCATGGATAACGCATTGTGCAAAAAATAAAATCTTGTATACAATGGCAAATGGCAAGGAATTTAAAGACAACCTAGTTCATAAATTTGGACAAATTTAATATGAACACAGCGGATTCCTGTGCATAATCACGAACTGAAATATTAGAAACCATAACACTGGGGCGGTGCAAAAAGTCGACTGTACCATAGAAGCGATCCATTTCCATATTCCAAATTTGGGGAATGTTTTCAAATTGGCGAGACTTCCGGTTATACCAGAAGTTGATGCCAACCTGCTTATTTTAAATCGAACACTATATACAGGGTGTTCCTAAATATGTTGTAAATGCGGAAGGAACTAATTCGTTGGCTTCTTTTATAGCTAAAGGTTCATATAAAGGTAGGTTCCTTTAAACCTTTATTTTGTAAACATAAGCAAACACAAGATAAAAATTTCAATACCAACTGTCAAAATTAATAAAAACAAGATATTATTTGCAAAAGTATACATTCATTTAGCCAACTACTGAATATGGATTTTTATTTCTTTTCTCAATGGTCACAGATACGAATCATATTTTATTAACACCCTGCATACTATTTCATCCTTAAATTCTACTTAAAATTCTATATACATTTCATGTATATTGTTCTATATCAATTTTAGCCATTTTTGACATAGGTACAGTAACCGCTCGGAAATCCGGCACCCCAATTTTTCGCCTGTGCCAGATTACTAAAGCGGGTAGAAAAAGTCTGCTATCTTATCTAAGCACTGTATTGTCATTTTTTTGTCAAAATTATGTTTGCAGTCCAAATCATAACTGTCAATTTTTTTCTATATCAGAGAATATTTAATTGGGGTTCCTTTTAGAAAAGGTTTCCCTTTAAGTAAGCTGTGTTTTGACTATAAATAAATACAGGGGGTTCAAAAACTAACAGTAATAATACTCAGTTCCAGAGATTGAGTGGACCTCACGAATGAGAAAGCGTGAAAGATGGTCTGGAATCAAACCCGAGTCCTCTCAGTTTGTTATCTAGTTCCCGAGCCACTAGACTACATAGTCCGCTGAGTTAAGATTATAAATAAAATTGGAAAAATCGTTAATGTAAAATCAACGAATTTTTGTTAGATGGTAATGATTTGACATCATGGCGCCGACAAAAAACAAACAATCACTTAAAAAAATGCTACTTTTTCTTACCACTATAACCCCACGTTTGGGTGCAGTTTTTCATAGAGGTTTAAAAAAGTATATGTATACTACATTTATCTAAATGCACCGCAAATGCATGTTATAACATACCCTGTATAAATATGGGAAAGGAAAAGCAATAATTAATAATATGGAATTGTTACAGTGAGATATAGAGAATTCGAGTTTCCAATGAGAAAAATTCACAAGATATTTAAATATTTAAAATTAATTTTAAACACTATCACTTACCATCATCATCATCAATACAGAACCTGAAAAATCCGCTCCACTGCATATAAAAACATGGAAAAACCCAGATGAGCATCAACATGGGTGACATTAAATGCTCATTATTTGTCTTGGATTATCAAAATTTTTCATAAATTCCATGAGATACATGGTTGAACCAGCTGCCATATTGGTGCACATCTTGGGACAATGGTAGTAAGTAAAGTAGGTAATTATTACATTTAAAAAACCAAATGAATAAATTATGACATACAAACAAAAATAAAGCGTCATTGGTGGGGAAGTTCAAATTAGGAACCATAGTGTAAAGCTAAACCTCCAATCCCGGCACAACCCCTTTTACATTCGGCTTCTCAGTTCTCGTATGCCAAACGTACACTTTTGTACAGTTGTCGGCCAGAGGTTCCAGCTCCTCCTTTGTGGTGAAGTAGCTCAAAAACTCGCTCTCTTGAAAGCCCTTTTCCATTCTATATGAAAATGCCGCTTGCGATTTAGCTAATATTAAATCTAAATTGATGGCAAAGCCTGCCATATCTATTGCAAATTTCCTATCCGCCTTCCATCCACTTCGATATCCGGTAACTTTTCCTAAATGGCTCGATTTATTGTACGAAACGGATTACATTCGAGCTTACCTGTGTTGGGATCCAATATTAAGGTTTCAGCGTTTAGTCCTCCAACTAATCCAACAGGCCATACGCCAACTTTCTTCACTTTTGCAATCTAAAATTAGAAGTGAAATCTAACTTTCTGCGACACTGTAAATTTTTTTATTAATTTTTAAAAACGCCCCTGGTGCTCGTATAGTGAACATGATTTTTGGGTAATCAATTTGATCCTTATTAAAGACCACCAGATCAACAATCGAGATGGGGGGGGGAGATTGATGGACACTGAATGTGCAATGGAAGATTTTTTTTAATTAAACAAAGATTGTCAGTTAAACAAAGAAAAGCTTCACAATTCATCATTTTGATGTATTTTTGAGATGCAAATATCGTCCTTGGTGACGCTAAAGTATTCATTATACCTATTTGGTTCAATTGTCGTTCGAAACAAGCCTGTGAGACCGCTCGAGTGTGGTGTTCTACTCAATTCCCGCTCATGTGTTTGTAATAGAAAAAATTACAGCATTCACAAGCTATACAAGAGTCATTTTTATTGATTGGTATCGTCTACCATGAATAAACAAAAGAGAATTGGCCTACTATCTAAAAACCGTAAAAAATATGGTTTGTATTTTTGCTTAACGGCTATAAAATCTAAAAAAATATAGGTTGTGATACATCAATGTAATTTTAAAAAATTGACATTAAGATATACAGAGTGTTGCTTAAAAAATGCCAACATGAAATGCTGTAACTCTTGTGACCATTGCTATAAAGTAAATAATCCTTCTGCAGCTAGGAAATGTGTGTGGTTAGTAAACATATTGTTGTGTAAACAACGTCATGTGGACGTTATTTCGGTCTAAACACAGAACATGACGGGACGGGACAAACGGAACATCCCGTATATGAGAAATATTTCATGATATTAAGTAAATATGGGGGATTATTTACGAAATAAGGACAGAGTTGGTTCGTTTTATTTGAATTTGTCTCAGTGTTTTAGTGTTTTAGTTAGTAGTAAGGTTACATCTGGTCGTTTGTAATAAGTTTTATTATCAGACCAAATTTAATTAACGTACGTGTTCTGGTGCTGAGAAGGACATGCGGATGTTTCGCAGGTGGGTACGTTTGGCGCGTTCTATCGCAATTGGCGAGTTATTTGAAATCATAAAAAAGTTCACGATGGTTACTTATATACGAAAATGTACACATGTACCGCTCCATAACGAACGTGAACGAAAGTATGTCTGGCGATAACAAAAATCGTATTGCGGAAAGCGAGCGCGATTACCACGATCTCTGGGACCTACAAGTTTCGGTCCGTTTTGTTTAAAGCCGATCACGTAGGTAACAAAAAGGCATGTTTACCAGTCGATCATGAGTGTACGCTAGTCGTTCAAAAAGGAAGAGGCCCGTTTCGGTATTTCTATTGGGCGATATTCAAATAGCGAAAGAAGTGGGAGAGCGAGTGAGTTAGAGGGCCAAATGAATTTGTGAGCAATCGCGTATTTTTTCTACCGTTAAAGATTCATTATAAGTTGATATTCGCGAACCGTTTTAAGTGCGCTGTAATTGAATTCTTAGCGAAGTATAAAAGCAGGCGCGTGCCCTTTTTTGTACAAGAAATTACAGTTGTGAAAAAAGTCATGAGCCTCCACGCAAAATTCTTTCGTGCGAGTTCAGTCATAGTAAAGTGTAAGTATTTTGTGAAAACACAGAATCCAGCTAAATTTTGATCGCGTCGTTAAAAAGCATGTAAGTAAAATGAAAGTGGTGACAATAAAGTTATAGTTACTAGCCAGCTTAACTTTGTGGTTGGACTGTAGTTTTAGCCGAATGTAACAGCCGTTCATTTACGAGTGATAAAGTTTACCCGAAGGAACATTTTCAAATAAGCATAAACAAATAAAATCATAATTTACATCCAAGAACGGGTAAAAAATCGTCTTTGTTAACTTTTTAACCAAAACAAATATTGCAAATTTTCGTTAAACGACGACTTAAATATGGCAACCCTGCAGAAAATCAAATACCTACCTCTTTAAACAATTTCACACTATACGTATTATCATCATCCATAAAATACACAACTCCTTTATCCTTTCCATGCTGTAAATTTTCCCTTAACCACTTGAGCGCCAGATTTCGCTGCTCGACACCTCTATGTTTCAACCATCTCGGATCTTCATCCCCCAGCTTTTCGTAAACTGGCGTCTTAATACTTAGGTGTGTTACCAAAAGATTCGAGTCCGCGACCAAGTTCCGTACCAAATCCGTCTTCTCATCCGAATCTTCGACGAGTATCCAATGAACGTTCGGAACTAACGCTAAAGTCTGCGATATTCGTGTCAGTTCGGCTTTTTGAACGTACCTCGAGTACGTCGGCGTGATGGCATAAATCATCGGCTGCTCTTTACCTAACTTCGCTTGATATAAATGCTCGATTAGGATTAATTGCTGGTGGGACAATTGCAATTGCTCCTTGTTTAAGTACAAAGTGTCCTTCAAGAATTGTAATTTTTCCACGTCTGCAAGTACCTGGCTACAGAATCATGGGTGTGAATTTAAGGGTGATCTCACCTGTTTGGATAATGGTCAGTTTCCATAGAATAAATAATATTGAAATTGCCAAAAAATACACCACCCATCTTCTAACTTTCATGTCAAAATTGCTTGGACATTCCATATGACTTCCCGGGACAATTTTCATTAATACTGCTAGAAAAAAAAATTTCAAATGAACTTATTATTGTCACATAACTTGAAGGACAATTTTGTTTAATGTTTAGTGCTGTCAGCTGTCAGATTCTTACGCTAACTGTCAGATGTCATAAACATAACTCAAGGAGCATGCGCGATTTGTTTAAAAACCGGCGCCAGCTTCATCATAAAGGCAGTCGCCCACTTACGCGCGGCGCGGCGAAAAGCCTTTTTCGCTCACAATGGGTTCGTTCACGAGACGAAGCGATTCTGGCGCGAGTTGCTGTTTGGTAGCACTGGTGTACATACCACCCAAGTCGGACGTACGGTGATATTTACACCTTGACAGTGCTATCAGCATGAACATATGATACATATTCATATGTCTATGGCTAGCGGAGAGCGTCTGGTGAACGTAAGCATTGAGCGCGTTCACCAGATGAAGCGCACCTTGAAGAATCCCTTTTACTATATGCCCTAATGTGTAAGAATAAACGGAAGAAGCAAAGGATTTGTCAGGAAAGCCTTTAAAGCCACTGCCGCTTCTCGTTTATATTCCCTCTGTGACCTTGACCATCTTCAGAATTGAATACGATTGACTACTGCAAAGTTTGGTCTTGCCTTCATTGCCGGATTAGCTGCCTCAGAGTATGTCAAAGAAAAAATTTTTTAGACATGTGTCTCATGCACTTCTACATCTCCCTAACAAATCCCATCTTGTTGAATTTTTCTCGGAGGGAGCAGGAATTAAACAGCTCCCTCTATTTACCGAGGCACCAATTCATTTAATTAGAGTAGAAAGGAAATCAAATGCGAGCCTACAATATTTTTTTTAAATATAAATATCAGATACTAACGTATCCAAAACTGTGGAAAGGGTAATGGATAGGCATCAATCAAATATTGGCGCATGGGCAAATTGAAGGCAGTACTTCCAAAGTCACTGTGTGCACATCTTACCTGATTCTACTGCAATAACGTCCATAACGTGTTACGGTAAAAGTGTAGTTTATTTTTGATTTACTCTTGTACACATTTCTACTCAACACAGTTTGTAGCGATTACACAATCTTAGAGAGCATGTTGTCAAATTCTGATTCATTTTGACATACAACTGAATTGACAGGCACCCTTGCGTAAGTGTTTTTCGAGAGGTTTTTTAGGTATTGAAGTCGTTACTTTTTTAAGTGGTTGTAACATAGGTAAAATAAAAACGTCATATAAGATATAATTATATATTGAAATAAGGTACACATTCACAATGGTATAAATACAGTCAAATTCCAAGTTAAATTGGTAAAATCACACCGTTGTAGTGCGAAGTGGTTATCACAGAAATTTGACTTAAAACAAATCAGTGCTATCGAATGATGATTCAAAAATACTCATTATATAATTATACGAAAGTAAAACTATTCTTTGACAATAATAAAAATAATCTTAGGATTAATCATTTATTAACCTTAAACTAATCTCGGGGATTTTCGTTCCCGCAAGAAGTAATACTCACTCAATGCAGTCCTTAAAACAAATCTCTTACCTGAATCATCACATTTTTTGCTAACTACGTAAATCTAAATAAAATATAGTGAACTATAAATTAATTACAACAAAAAATGAAACGTATATACAAAGAAATTCACACGTGCACAATAATCAGTGATCATAAAATAAATCAAATCGAAACAAAGTTCTCAGACGAGATAACATTATAACAAACTACGACTAGTTTTATTAGCAAATTGGCATACACGCAAGGAATTTTAGAAACTCTGCTTCTCATAGTAGTAATATATTAAAACTGGACATTTTTAATTACAAAATCTTTTTTTAACGCCGCAACAAACAGGTAACATTTACCGTTAGTTACTGTAATAAATTAAAATTACGCTATAACAAGAGGTTCGTCATCCGAAAATCCCCTAATTTGTGGACTTTCATCTTCCTCTAAACCGTTATCATCGAATGTAGCTGCTCCCGATCTGGTATCGTAATGCGAATTAGCAAATCGAGTGAAACTATTTTGCAATCTGCGATTTCTAATAATTAAAAAGGCAAGTGCGCCCCCTAGCGCTACTAGTAAAATACAGGCGGGAACCAAAATCGCGGTCATATTACTTTTACCAATCAACTCGAGAGATGACTGCGTCTGTGCGTAATTCGCGGCGGGCCACTCGGATAGCAAAGATCGGTAACCGCGTTCGGATACTATTTGCACACCAAATGTGTACATAGACGGCGCGTCGTCATTTTCGAATAAGAAAGGCGGCTTCAGTACCACAAACTTTGAGGCGCTACTCGTATTCAACATGTCCCCTTTCGACACGAATATCTCATATTTATGCGAGCCGATTTCGGACGGTATTTCCCTTTCCTGCCAGTTCAAGATGTAACTGCCGTTGCGTTCCAAAAACACCCTTAATCCGCGAGGCGGCGGTATGGGTGGAGCGTAGTAAGTAACGGGATGGGTGTAAATCGCGCCTACTATAGACGTAGAAACTTTAATGTCGTAAACTCCGCCGTATGTGACCCTAAAGGTTGAACTTAACTCGATGTCCTTCGATTCTAATTTGTTATGGTTTACAACTTCGTTGGTCAATTTGTCTAGTATCGTAATCTGAAATAAGTTTGATAAGTGTGAAGTTTTTGAAAGGTACAGTAAAGCTAGGGTGATAGATAACGATAAGCACCTTATTTTGCAAAAATTTAAGAACGAATTCTTTATGAAATTGAAACGGAAACCGATGGGTTTTCTTTTAATAAAATTCACGAAACATGAAACATTTATAACCATTTTGTAGGTTAGGTTTTACATTTGCTTACAAGACCAATGTTTTTAAAGTGACGTGAATCAATTTTGTCATTTTCAAATGTACAAATATGCTAATGTGTCAAACTTTACGTTTTGGTCCTATTAAGATTTAGAAAGGATTTATCAAAAATGTTACAAACTAAGGGTAATGGATACACATCCTTCTTCTACGAAATTGGTTATTTGTATTAGAAGAAGCTTTTAGTACACCGGGAATTAAATAGAAATAGAATATGTGCTGTTACTTACAATATATCCGACTGGTTCTGCGAACGTAGGGCACGATGCGGACCATGACACTTGCATCTTAAGGTGATCAGAAGGATGTTGAGTAACTGTAAGTCTCTTGGGGGCGGCTCGTTTATTTAACGACGTCATGACCGTGGGAGAATCACTCGATATATTTCCTACTCCAGATGGTCCGACGATTCCCACAGAAAATATGTAAGTCTCACAAGCCCCCAAATGTGTAACCGTTACTGTTGTGTCGGTAGTATTTAAACGAGATTCTAAAAAATTACAGTGAAATGCTTTACACGATTTAATTAGTCAAAAGATTTACTTTGTAGTGTTTCCTCCTCATTCAATCCGTAGTAGACACCGTACACCCAAGCAACCTTCCGACTATCCTTCGGTCTTTCCCAGGTCAGTTTTACAGAGGTTCCGACACTTTTATCTACCAGAGCTTCTAATTTATGAATTACCGGCAATGGGTCGCCGCTAGTTCGAGCGGCTATGCTGCTGGGAATTCCTTGAAACGATTTTCTAAATGCCTTTACCTTAAAGAAGAGACATACAGTGAAATTATGGAATGTAATTCACAATTTTAAAATTGATCAGTAACTAAGGGCTAATTTCCCTTGTGTCAATTAAATTTATCTAATAGATAAACTCTATGTTTTGTTTCCATGACAAAAGACGAAAATCCGGTCTTAAGTGTTATCACTATACTGCACTTCATACTTATATAGCCGGATAGCCCATAAGAAGATAGGACAATACATTTCGGCATGTAATTTGCCTAAGTCAAAAGTAAGTAGATCATGTTGGCGATAGATAGGTATGTAAATTTTAATTTTCCTGACGCGCCGCGCCGGCTGGTAGCCATTTTACCCAAACATTTACGTTATAACGTTACGCATCGAGAAGTATCAGTTTGAATAGAGACACTGGGTGACATTTTGGGCGACAACATTAAGAAGGCCAAGGTCCTAAAAGCATTTAACAAATGTTTAGTACCAATGGTGGCGAAAATTCCAGAGGAAATCGTGGCCGCTTACGCAATATTACGGGATTCGACGTAATTACGACTGGAGAGAAGGAACAATTTGGGTCTGCCTGATCTCAACGCAATTTGTACCAAGAAATCTCACTGCGTATGTTTCAAATTAGTACAAATAGATCGTTGGCTTAATAATAATAATAGTATGAAGGAAAAGGCGGCGACAGACCTTATCCATTACATTGTGGATGGAATACCAGATCCAGCTTTCAACAAGATGACCTTGTACGAGGCCACAAGCCTCAAGGAATTAAAATGCAAATGGAAATTTATGGGGGGGGGGGTCAAATCTAAGGCTGCTCCACATTTTGCTTCCATTTCCAGTACGAGTTGCCAATTTTACAAAAACTGAGCCACATAAAGGTAAATCAAATTTCAGCTGCTTCAACTGCTACAAGCCTGACCATGGCGCTCATGAATGTAGGAAGCACAAGCTTGAAAAGGGATCGTGCTTCAATTGTTGATCGATGGACCACAAAGTAATTGCCTGTCAAACTACTAACCATTGTTCAGTCGACTCACGTTATTAGTTCAGAACTTTGCATATTTCATTCTTTACTTTCTCTCACCTAAGAGCATGGTATTACCAGAATTCTTAATATTCAAGTCGTATTCAAAGCTCTTTTGTTTCTCAAATTTGTTATTCCTCAGAATCAATCACTGAATCACTTGCTGGGGTTAATGCAAGTCCAATAGAAATCTTAGGTAAGATGTTGATTTGCCTTTTGAAGTTTGTTTATGTGTGGCACTCGATAAAAATTTGACTCATGGCATGTTGCTAGGTGGGGATTTTATTAAATCATCCAATTCGGAAATAACCATTGAACTCACTGGTGTTCAAATCAAAATAGAAAATATTCCGCTTGTGTTAAAGATGACGAGATTTGAAATATTAACTTCGGAAATCTAAATGGAATCCAGAAAATTCCATTAAGTATATGTCATTCATAACACCACTTGAGCAATTCGAATTTTACGAATGCCATTTGGGCTTACCAATGCCCCTCAATTGTTCCAACCATTGAATTATTTCAATGGTTCTAACAGTATGACCATAAAATCTTTGGTGGAAAATTGAGGATAATAGCATTTTAGTCTACTAAGATGATATAGAAACAATTGAAGAGCATATATCAATTTTAAATGATGTTTCTAGGCGTGCTGCCACTTCTAAATTGGAATTTCGCTTAAATGCTTTTTTTTTAAGTTCAATTTACATTATACTTTTTTCGTCTAGAAACTTGGAACTTGTACTAGACGAACTTGTTAAAATTTTGACAATGTAAATCAAAAAATTCCGTCCAAGTTTCTAATCTAGAAACTAGGTTTGAAACTCGGTCCACACCCATTTTCTATTCAACTTTCATACTTGTGACTTGCGCACTAGCACCAAATTAGAACAAATTCCGTGCTGCCAACAACTTTATTATTATACTCTTGAACATAACCTCAAATATAAGAACATGTACATAGCAAAAATGAACTTCTTTTGCTTGTTATTCATGTTTGTTTCACAATGTACAATATTGAGATTTGTTTTCCGAAATTGGCAGCACTGCCATTGAAACAAAAAAAGTCAATGCACCAAAAAGGGGTAAATTTAAATCTCTAGTATAGTGTCGGATATAGTAAAAGTTCTAATCAAAGCTTCTAGACGAAAAAAGTATAATGTAAATTGAGCTTTAGATTATGAAACAACCTATTTAGAATATTTACTCAAAATTCACGAAATATACATGCTGTTTTGGACTTCCCAATCTCAAAAAACCCTCTTGAACTATACTGCATGCATTATTGGCGGATTTATGGCTCAGTGGTAGAGCATTGGGTTATAAATCCGGAGGTCTGTAGCGGAGATGGAAATTACTTTAGACCAGTTCCGAGCATTCTACCAGCTACTCCGAATTAGGTTTTCCTGCAGTTTTCCTAATTCGTGAGGTAAATATCGGAGGAGTATAGACCAACTTAAGACCTTCTGCAGAGGCACCTCTAAATAGCATTATGCGGGTCACTCTGTAATTGGGCGCATGCCTGTTGAGGGCCCAAAAACAAGAGAGGGATAAGAATAAAAAAAAAAAGAATAAGAAGGTAGTAGATGGCGCTGTGTTTGAAGATCGACACACACAATAAAAATATAAAACGGCACAAAATTTGAAAAATATAAATCAAACGATATCACGCTAGGATCTTTGAAATTGACAGCTAATGACAGTTCGACAGTTTAGTTCGTAATTGAAACTTCTAACAGACAGAATTGGTTACTTTTATTTTTCAGGGTAATACTGACTCGTGTTTTAACCAATCACAGTGAAGGCAAACTGTCCCTACGCTTTCTACCGCCACCTTCTTAAAATGAATAGCGTATAAATATCTTTCTTAGATTAGTTTCCATAGAAACAGTGTTGTATTATGTTCTGAACTTCATTTTATTTTGTGCTGCGATTCCCAATTGAAATAAAAATGGCAAAAATAACACAATCCGTCTCAGACTATAATACCATTCTAGTGACCATATCATAAGAGAGACTTACGGAAGATTTTTATTCTGTATTCACTGGATCATGGAAAAGCAAATGTTTGTATGATATTTTCATAAGACGATTCGTATGCCGAATCATAGTAAAGCATTGGCTGTCTGTGTTTAAACTTACCTTAAAAGTATAGTAAACGCCTGGCGCCAAATTATCCATGACGATATTTTTAGCTGTGGTAGTCCTAGAAGGTAGCTGAGGGTAGGGATGTAACGCTTCAATTTTCACAGTAAATCCGTCAACGGCTCGCTCGTATTGCCACGATAAGCTTATACTATTCGTCGTCTTCGAGACTACGGAGAGGTTTATTACGGCATTTAGATCAGAATCGCCATCGAAGATGATCGACTTAATATCTGAGTGATTGCTTTCGTGCGCTCGGTTGTGTGCGATCACCTGTACAGAACCAATGGAGATTGATCAATAAAGAGGTTAACTTACGTAGAATGAATATTTGTGATCTGGTGGAAAATCGGCGGGAAGTAAATGGGCGGTGCTGTCATCGCTGAGCTTCAATTTGATTGGTGGTTCAGGTGGGAACCAGCAGATTTCGTAATATTGAATTATTCCATTGGGTGTAATTGGTTTCTTCCATGATATTAAAGTGTGAGAGCCATTTTGCTGCTCCACCGTTACATTCCAAGGTTCACTAGGTACACCTAAAAATTTAATTAAGTAATACCGTCAACGAGTCGCCATTTTACCTTCGCCGGTGTTAGCGATGAAATACTTAGCAGGTGGGAATACATTACTTGAGTCCTTCAGTTTTACATACACGGTCATATTATACTTGGTGAAGGGCTCCAAATTCATGAATCTGTATTCGGTATGCTCTGTCCATGTTTTATTATCAAACTTGTTGGATCCCTGCTTGCTAATGCTGGGTAAGAATTCCAATTTTACTTTATCCGGCAAAGGAATCCACCAATAAAGCAATAGACTTGTTTCGTTGATACTTCGCTCGTCAACGCCCATTTGAAGCACTTGATAAACTCGTGTGACGGAAGAGCAATTTTTTTCGTCAAACCCATCTCGGCAGTCGATCTTATTATCGCAAAGCATCGCCAGTGGATGGCACATAAAGTCGTCACACGGAAAGTAGCCGACGGAGCAGCTGGGACCTGCCGAGCCGCTGGGTACATTGTGATCGGTTGAACAAGCTGACTCATCTGTACCATCAGGGCAATCCTTGTGTCCATTGCAGACATCAGTAAGCTACAAGAAATTTTTAAAAAAATGGTACTCGAGTCAAAGTGAGCATTACCGGAACACAAGTGCCATCCATGCGACATTTAAACTCATCTCCAGAACAATGACGTATGCCATCACAATTCTCTTCCTCTTCGCCTTGAGGACAATCACGAGAACCGTCACAGACCCATGACAGTTCAATACACTCTCCTGATGTGCACTGATACTCATTGTGAGAACACGTGCGATAAATCGGATGTGGTGTAGTAGGAACTGGTGCCAAAGTCGTTTTGGCTACATTTAGACATCCAATTTCGTCACTGTTATCACCACAATCATCTGCTGAATCACATTTCCACCAGTACGGTATGCATTTACGGTTAGAACACATAAACATCCAATCCAAACACGAAGTGCCGTTCTAAAAGCATCATCTTACAAACTACCCACTCAATGTAACACCTACTGTAGGTAAAAACGGATTGGGAGTGGCCATCGGTGGTTTATCAATTGTTGTACAGTTTTTCTCGTCTATACCGTCGGGACAATCTTGTTCGCCATCGCACACCCATGACGCATAAATGCACCGGTAAGTCGGCGCGCCGCACGCAAACTGATATTCGGCACAGGTGTTGTTACTGCAATTCAACTCGTCACTGCCGTCCTTACAGTCGTTTTCTAAATCGCAACGCCAGGTGGTGGGTATGCAACTAACCCCGCCGCCGGTACAGTGAAACTCGTCGGCTAAAATAAACGCGTTAGTGGAGGTCGTTTACTCGCCACTCTTACATTTGCAAGTGGTGGGATCAGGACCGACGCAATCTTTTTCATCCGAACCGTCGCGACAGTCGTTCTCGCCGTCGCACTTCCAACGGGCCGAGATGCAACGACCGTTTCCACAGGCGAATTGGGTGGCGCTGCAGTTTTGTTTGGGGCAATTTAGTTCGTCAGAACCGTCTGTGCAGTCTCTTTCATAATCACATCTGCAAAGACAAAGGTGTCGTGAGATCTGTTCTGTTAAAAGCATGAACACAATTTTGGACTTGTTAAAAGCATTTTGGTGAGCTTCGTACCAGACGCACCTTAGACGTATGATAAGGAGATGATTTGACCAATGGGACACCAGGCCAAAGAGATTTTAAGTGGTCCGTGAAGTTAGCAGAACATTGAAGGCACAAATGTCGAGACTAGGTGGGTTGGTTAGTGCTTCGTTTGTGCCGGTTTGTGCCGTAAAAAGTTTGCCAGCAAAACATAAGGTTTGGAAATTATTTCGATTTTTAGAGGTTCTGCTAAGAGGCCAGTCATTGAAGATTTTTACCTGGAAATAACTCGGGAAGTACAGAAATTTGGTATGCTTGAGTGCGTAGAACTAAAATTCATAAAATGCACAATTCTAAACTTGCCGCCATCTTACCAAGATGGCCGTCAAAAGCGGTTTTCCGCCGATATCTCCAAAACTGCGCATTTTACGAGAAAATATGTGGTGAGCAAAATTAAAGAAACGAAAATTTCCTACAAAAAATGTAGTTAGCATATTTTCACTAAAGTTAGCCCTTACGCAGAAATTCAGAAATTTTTAATAACCAGTGGCGTATATTTTATCCAAATAATTCATTATTATTGTTTTATGGACTAAAATCTCTAAAATAAATTACTATAGCATGGAATGGTCAGAATAAACGCTTTCCATGATAGACTATGAATTAGAAATGACAGTAAAAAAATTTCAGATAATGATCCACCGTCAAAAAGACCTTACGGTTTGGATTCCAGTTTAAAGCTTTTAAATGAGTATTTGAAGTTGTTCTTTAATCAATTTCAATATCAATATCAAAAATCAAAACTTAACTTTTCCGCACGGTAGCATCTGTTGAGACCCAGCACTTTCTTTTCATTGGATTTACTTCTCATACATCGCTTCGCCTTTTATTGAGCGAAGTATGTAATCGATTTGGCAATTAACTACATGGATGTTCAATTTGATTTACCGTTAAAATTTCACAAAAATTGGTCAACAAATAAGAAATTTACTTTTGCACATGCGCGAAAGAAGCTTTTGATATGTTTGAAATAATCGATCGATTTGCCTTTAGTAAACGATGCTAATGTTAACATTTCAGTAAGATCGGTCCAGTAAGCGGCCCCGGCGGCAAGTTTAGAATTGTGCATTTTATGAATTTTAGTTCTACGCACTCAAGCATACAAAATTTCTGTACTTCCCAAGTTATTTCCAGGTAAAAATCCTCAATGACTGGCCTATTAGCAGAACCTCTAAAAATCGAAATAATTTCCAAACGGTACGTTTTGCTGGCAAACTTTTTACGGCACAAACCGGCACAAACGAAGCACTAACCAACC